TGAACTCTGTCTTTAGCAAGGAATTACCTCATGTTGCTTGTTATGGTTTACATATGAAGTGCTCCCTGAAGACTCATACATTGAAAGGCTCGATTTCTGATGCAGCCGTGTTCAGGAGAGGGGCCTCAAGCAGTGACTGAACCATAAGGTGCTAACCTCATCAGTGCATTAACCCATTATAAGTCCATAGACAATGATAGATGGGAAAAGAGAGCGTGCCTTTGAAGCCTTTGTCCTGTCCCTAGTACCTCCCTCTCTCTGGCTCTCTTCCTATTTCCTGGCTGCTAACAGGTAGGCAGCTTTCCTCTGCCTCACCTTTCCATCATGATGTTTCTTCCTTAGAGCCAGTTAACCATGGACTGAAACCTCTGAAAGTGTGAAACAAAGTAAACCAGTTTTCCTTTAAGTAGTATAAATGAGGTATTTCATCCCAGTAAGGGAAAGGTGGCTAATTATCGTATCACAATGTCACTACTACTACCTGTGTTACATTACCTTTTTTGAGTAAATGAAGTCAAAATTCAATGAGCAAAGAAGCAGGTAAAAGAGAACTGTGGAAGGGACCTTTTTTGTGTTAAACTAGAACAATTGTTTCTTATACAAACTATTTCTAGCGAAATGTCATTGTACTTGTTTATTATGAAGTATTCCACCCTCCCTCTCCTGTCTCAGATTAGTTTCCCACAGTTGTTTAGGCACTTAGCTTGGGCTGCTACACCAAAATATCATAGACGGAGCGGCTTAACCTACAGACTTTGATTTCTTACAGTCCTGGAAGCTGGAAGTCCAAGATCAGGGTGTCAGCAGATTTGTTTCCTGGTTCGGGTCTGATTCCTGGCTTTCACATGCCTTTTAGCTGTGTCTTCCCATGATGGAGAGACAGAGAGTTCTGGTTTCTCTTCCCCTCTTAAGGACACTTCCATCATGGGAACCCACTCTCATGACTGCATCCAAATCTAATCATTTTTCGAAGGCCCACTTCCAAATACAGTCACACTGGGGTTTATGGCTTCAACCTAGAATTTTGAAGGCATACAGCACTCTAACAAGGGCTCCAAGTACTAAACAACACATTTCCCTCCAACTGTGAGAGTTTTGCCAGGGTGTGCCCATTTTAATCCTCTTCACCTTCCAGATCTGCAAGCTAAGCATTTTAGGGTAGAAAAGGAAAGAGAAGCAACAGTTGTACAAATGAGAACCTTGTTATGCAAATCACTAGATCTTTGATGAGTGTACATTTTAAGTACCTGGGGGCCTAGTTTAGTTTGTAGAATATTAATTGATCAGAACAACTATGGTAGATATAGTTGAAAATTAAGAGAATCACCTTCAGCACTCCAGCAACTAACCACAGGCGATTATCTCAAATAGGAACCTATTCAGATCATTATTCAAACGAATATGAATCTTACCACAAATTACAAATTATGTAGTAGTAATTTGTGGAGCTCAGCGAAAAATGCAGATGTATGGTCCTTTAAAAAAAACACAAAACTATTAAGCATTTCCAGATGGTAATAGGAAAACATTCAGCCAAGCATGTGTCCCCCTCTGAGCACAGATCCATAAACCCACCCTCCCTCACTGATTACTATCTAGTAAGTCCAGTGCCAGGAAACCCCAAGCCCTCCTGAGTCATGCGGCTGCTGCTGCAGAAAAACAAAACAAAACAAAACAAAAAAACCCACCGAAAAGGCATTATCAACACCAGCAGCACTGGCTGTTCTCAAAATTGCAACACTTCCTTGTAGTTTTCTTCAAATGACTAGTTTCCACTGGTGTTTTCCCTCCTTGGGGTTTGTCTATAGGGCAGTTAAAAACTGCAAAACAAAATCAACCCTTGACAGTAAACGGAGAAACCAACAGATTAGCAATCTTGATGCGCGCAGCTGATGCGCTGGGGACCAGAGAGCGGAAGCACTGCGCACCAAGGCCCCTGCTGTGGCAGCAACCCCAGGGCCACCATCCTGTGGGCAGATCCGCCCCTTCCACCCCAGGTCCCTGCCTCGTACTGCAGGCGGCCTAAGTACATGAATTGCTTTCTCAATATTCCCTTCGCAACCGGGGAGAAAAAAGTGTAAATGGCTCTATTTGCGAAGAGGAAGAAACGACGCCGGAGCCGGCCACAGGGCGGATCTTTCCCGCCTGCTAAGGGACCTGGACCCCGGCGGCCGCACAGTGAACGGCCTGTTTACCCGGCTCTCGGCGCCGCCCGCAGCCGGCTGGGAGTCAGGGACAGCCGCTGATGGCTGATCCGCAGACAAGCGGGCCAGAGCGGGAGGGAGCGCCGGCGGGTGGGCCGGCCGCGAGCAGGTGACGGCGTCCCCGCGCCCCGCACGTCCTCTGGCGGGGGCACACTGAGGCCCGCGCCCCACTGCGGGCATCGCCTGGCAGGGCCGGCGGGCAGTGCCCGGCACAGCGTTGGCGCCGTCACCTCTTGCGGCCTTCGGTCAAAAGCAAAAAGCAGCACAGACGTTTGTGTCACCCACTGAGCGCTCAGACCTTGGCTTGGGTTTGAGGCGCAGAGACCCTTCGTCCGCCCCTCGCCAGGGTGGCCCTGGAACAGCCAGGGGGTTCTTGTCTTCCGGACTTTCCTAGCCACAGGGAACTTTACGGGGCTCTCTCTCTCCGTGTCTGTTTCTCTCATCTTCTTGGCTTGTTATGTATAAAAAAAGGCAACGAGGGAGGAGGCCGGAGGTCACCGGGGGTGCTCGGGTGCCCGGGGTTCCCAGGAAGCGCTGGCCCTGCTGCTCCTGACAGCTGGCGTGCTTTCACTTTTGCACTCCCTGCATTGCTCCTTTGCAGTCCTGAGAGCCTTGGGAGAGACGCCTATAAAGGGAAGGAAGGGGTAGAGGGCCAGGAGAGCGAAAACACTGGGCCACACTGCGGGAGGGGAAAGAGCTCCGGCTGCCTGCGGGCCCTGCGGGCGGGGTGTGGTCAGCAGGGAGCCACGGTCAGGCCGGTCCAGAGCCTGTGCAGCTCCCACAGGGAAGGAGGGCGGGCAGGTCAGAGTCTGACTGTCCTGCTCAGCAGAGACCCTAACTCTCGTCAACTCACTAACTTCTGCCCAGGGAACCCATAGGAGAGGAAAGCTCTTGCATGTAGGCAGAATCCTGGGCCCAAAATTTGCATCTCCAAATTTCTCTTAATGTACTGCCCTTATCAACAGTCAGCCCTGTAGGCTCAAGCTGGGAAGAAATTTTTTCGAATTTAGCTGCAGAGTCGTGCCTTGGGAAGCAGGGTGAACTGTTTCACCCTGATGGCACTCTGCCTCTGAAATGACTTCTATGCATCTGGTTCTATTTCAAGAGACAGAGCAGACACTGATACCTGGGAACAAAGAAACTGCAGGAAGGAGGCCTCTGATGTTTTGTAGTGGTCAGGAGACTTAAGTTCCTTAGCACTCTGGAGTAAAACTAGCAGGAACTTCCTCATCTACCAGGAACAGCTTTGGAGTTAATCTTAAAGATCCCCCAGCCTGGGCCTGGGAGTCCTTCAAATGCGCAGGAGATCTCCCACATCTGGGAGTGCACAGCCCAGAAGGGTGAGGGCAGCCAGCAATAGTTACTTTTGGCTAAAAAGACTATTTTAAGGGCTTTCGGACCCACCAAGCCCTATGGGGACATTTCCATATCTTCCTACTTCGCTGCAGTGTTTCAAAGAAATGAGAAGTAGCTCCTTCTGAGAAACAGATTGCTACTACGTCTCAGATGCAATTATTCTCATTATAGTTCTGGACAACATAGCAAGGAACATGAACTTTTGTGACTATCTTCAAAGGAGGAAGGCTATATTTGCCATGTTACAGGTTTTACAATATTCTCTGGATGCCAATATGTTTCTCAAAGACATCTGTGTCAAGTCAAGAATTATACAAACACCTGTTCAAAAAGCCTTGGTAGGAACCAGTTCAAAAAGGCTCTTTTTGCTTGTCCTGACTATATTTTTCCACTCTGGCTATCACCACACTCCGTGGGACAACACATAAGAAGAATGAGTTCTGGGCATCTTAGTCTATTTTGTTGTTACTATAAGTAAATATAACAGATTAGATAATTTATAAAAATAGAGGTTTATTCAGTTCACAGTTCTGAAGGCGGGAAGGTCCAAGGTCAAGGGACCACACCTGGTGAAGGCCTTCTTCTTGTTAGGGACTCAGCAGAGTCTTGAAAGGGTAGAGGGCATCATAAGGGGAAGAGGGCCATAGCAGGCAAAAGAGAGTTCATTTTTGTGACAAAGCTACTACCTCAATAAACTGCTAATCTATTTAGTCCATGATGGATCAATCTTGACTGATAAGGGCAGATCCCTTATGATGAAATCTCCTCTAAAATGTTTCATCTTCAAACACCATTAATTTAGGAGTTTAGAAATTGTTTCCAGCACATAAATCCTGAAGGACCTCAAAATCATAGCTGGATCCCGAGAGCCACCTCGATCAATGCCTTGTACAGAATGGCAGACCCTGCCCCTGACTCCTCAGGGCTTGCTCTGTCTTGCTGACACTCTGTTCTCCCTGGCAGGCAGGCAGGCAGGCAGGGTACCTCCTCAGCCCTGGCCCCTGTGCTTTTCTTCAGAGTTACATTGCTGAAGCTCCTCCAGTAATGTTCCTGCCCACTGGGCTGGCTTTAAGGCGGGTGCTTCTCGAGTGCCTGAACTGTCTGTGAACCCCCAAGGGGAGTCCGACCCATGCTTCCCTTCCAGCTGACTATGGTAGAACAGGCAACAAATACTTGTGGACTATTATTGCCACAATTAAATGTAGAAGAATACCACTCTTTTCTTTTAAGAAAGCGATAAAGATTAAAAACTATCTATATGTAATCACTTATGGAATGGCCTACAATTTGGACTTGATTACATTAAGTCATTCATAGATCTCTCCCCTCTTTGTACTTCTTCCCTAGTTTAGTAGAATGTGCTTTGCAAAAGGCAGAGTTCTTGCCTTCCTGCAACTAAAGAATTAAGAATCTCTAATCTACTGTCTTTCTTTCCCCCAGAGTCCCTGCACCCCACCTGCCAATCCGAGTTACAAAGGGCAAAATTTCATCTACCAGGTCTACTTTCCAACATCAAAATTCTTCTATTAAGTGTGAAGTGGTACAACTGCTACGGAGAAGACTGTGGTGGGTTTTCAAAATGCTAAACATAGATCTAATACATGACTTTGTGGTACTGCTCTAATGAATTGAAAATATTCAGATACCAGTGCACCAACACTCACAGTAGCCAAAATATGGGGGAAAAGTGTAGGTGTCTACTGGTAGAAAAATAGATAAACAATGGCAGTAAATTCATACATTGGAATATTATCCAGCCATTAAAAAGGTTTGTGAATCTCATGTCAACTAAAAAAAATCTCTACATCCCTTAAAATCAGTTTGCTGAAGATTATTACTGTACTGGTCATCTTTTGGTATTTTATGACTGGATGAAGAAGACTTAGAGTTATAAAAATGACAAATATCCACTTTTCTTCTGACTAGCTGTCCACAGTGATGACATTGGCAATAAGGACAACTTATGAAGACAAAAATAATGACAATAATTATGAGGCTTAAAACGTCCCATAGGCCAGGACAACACAGTATCCACAGATTACCCAGAGCAGGACCATAGTCCTCACCAATCATCCTTGACTCACCTGACCCATTGAATGTTCAGCCTTACGGAGAGTTGGGGCTGCTCAATTATGGAATCAGGATCTATGTGGAAGTGTGTTCAGTAACAGAGCCAACAAAAATTCAACCTCATAGGCTCCCTAAGATGACAGTGGGCAATTATGAATACAGCCTAAGATCATAGTTTTTCTTCCCTGGACTTATGGATAATGAGACTATTAGCTTAGAGTGAGTACTTATATCACGTTTTATGTGATTTATATGTACTTGAAAAATTATGCCTATCTATGTAGTTTGCATGTATGAAACTGTTAATTCTTATCACATCCTGTGAGTTAACCATTATTTTTCCCATTCCAAAGATGAAAAAACTGAGAAAAGAGATATTACTACTGCATCCAAAATTCCACAGCCTCTCAGGCAGTGGTGTTTGTGTTAATGCCCAGGGAGAAGTTTCAAGGGCTGGATAGAGGCTCGCTGGGCAGGACCCTGAGAGGTTCTTCCTGGGCTCTTTACCTTCCCTTGTGTAATTCCAGCAAGCTCTCTGTTTGCTCTTCCAGGGGGACCATGTCCTCCGACATCTGTCCTTGCTGCCTTTGGCACCAGAGCTGTACACATACCCTGGATGAGAGTTACTGAGTTTCCTCAATAATATTTTCATGCTGTTTCCTCCATCAAGATATAAATACAACAAAACAATAGCTCGTCTTTCCTTTGCTTTTGCTATTGTCTGTGAGATGCACTCTGGGTGAAAAGACATCAAGACTGTACAAATAACTTTGGCTCTGAAATGAAAGACTTTTACTTTGCTGCTGCAGGAAGCCCAGAAGAGATATTTTTCTTTTTCTTGAGAGGGAGATTGATTCATGATTTTGTTTTATTGGTTAGTTCACTGGGGACTGGGAGACTCATCTTAGAGTATTATTTTCTCTTCCTCCCTCCTCATTCCCCAGAAAATCTAGTAACACCATACCAGAGTCACAAAGCTCTCCAGCTGGGAACTGGGGATCCTGGAGGCACGAAGGGAAAAGACTACTAGTCTGAGAATATGTGCATGCGTCGTCAGTGACATTTACTCTAATATTTTCTCTTTCCCACTTTACAGATGAGAAAGTGAGCTGCAAGTGGCAAGGAGATGGTCACATTCCTAGCTTACGGTTTGTACAGAACATAAACTCTAGCCAGTCTTCTAGTTCCATTTACAGAGATCTGTTCTGCTGGGGCACTTTCATGTCTACTGATGAAACTGATGAAAGGCACTGTTAGAGGAGCTGGTGGCTGCCAGGCCTGATTTCTGAATTGATTGGTCACCAGTTTTGGAGAGAGATGGCCCAAAGGATTCAAGTATTTAAGAGAATATTTGGTGTAGGAGTTTTCTCTCTGCAAGATGGCTGAAGTGGAGAGTGTGAAGTTCTTTTACCAGCAACGAACAGTATTTCTGGTTTGTGCAAGAGGCTTCTAGGCATTATCTCATTTAATTCTTGGAACAACTGTAGGTATAAGTTTTACTAACTAATCTCTTTTCACAGATGAGGATACTAAGGTTCAAAGAAACATGGTCAAAATCTGCCCAGGCCAGAATATGAGTTCGACTCTAAAGTTAGGAGGTTGAGACTTTCCACTAAGCCACAGTGTCCCCAGGTTGAAACTGAGGCTGTTATCATGAAATCCTAGACTTCTGACTTTTGCAGTGGATCCTTCTTTCCAAAAGAACCTTTAAAATCAGATGTGGTGAGCTCATACCTGTAATTCTGAGTGTACCAGGAAGGCTGAGGCAAAAGGAGCACAGGTTTGAGATCTCACAGGATCACACTGTGAAATATTGTCTCAAAAAATTTTTTTAACAGAGGTTTTTAAAATATTATTGGTGGGGACCAGCAACCAGCAAAAGAAGAAACCAACACTTGGTTACTGACCCTTTTTTCTCAATTTTCTTTTTTCTTTGTTTTCTCTCTTGTCTTTTTTATTTCTTTCTTCCATTTTCCTTTTTTCTCTCTTTTCTAAATATCTGGGGAGAACCCCGGCCACAGAAAACAAATCCCATCCCTCAGACTCAGAGACCAATTCAGATAATCCCTCGAATACTCCTTCATTCTTTCTTTTCTTCCACCTTCTCTAGTTTCCCAAACCCTGTGTGTCCACCATTTGTCCTCCAGGCTTGCTTCTACTTCCTTCCCAGGTATATTTGTTGTATATACCATCTTCCATAAACTTCCCCACCGCAAGGTAAACCCACTCTACCAAGGGGAGACACTGCATGTAAACTCCTAATTTAGGATTGGTGCTGTTATATGACTGTAGACTTTGCTCCTATGGGCTAACATATAAAATCAAGAGTTAGCACAGTTTGTCAGTTTCTAAACTGTGCTTGATGCTATGATTATTGCCAATTTTACTACTTTAGCTAGGATTTCATATATGTTATAATCAGTCTTTCTCCCTTCTGTAACAATACTGGGAAGCTGTTGTGTAATAACTTCACCACAACCCCACATCAAAGGACTGGGAACTGAGCCAAAAAGATACCAATGTCCTACTTTTAATTAATTGGGAAGGTAGGACCTTGGGCCAGACAAAAATCAAGAATTTACACACACAAGATATCCCTGAAGAACAGACTTCTCCTAGAGAGGCCTTGATGCTAGTGAGTTAGCTACCTACTACAAAAATGTACAAGGATCAGGTTTAGAAAACCAAATAAAAAGTTTTTTGAAATTGAAAATGACAAGACAAAAAAGCAAAATGCAATCAATCTCAGACCTCTAGCTCAACCAGAACAAGTACAGGAGATATCAATATAGAAGAAACTAGAAGCACACATCTGAAATTTCTGAAATGATAGCAACTGAAGTAAAGAAACAAATCCATGAGGACATAAAGGAAATTAGGTCAGAAATAATCTCTCAGGTAAGAAGAGAATCAACAACATTTATGAAGGACTTGCTCAACAAATCTAGATTAAATATAGATAAAAAATAGATGATGATAGGAAGTACATAGAAGCTGAATAATCAGTATAAGAAAGAAAAAGAATGCATGAAATGGATTCAAACAAATATCCAGGAAATAAAAAATTGCATTAAAAATTAACAAAACTCATTCAACAAAACTGAAGACAGACTTTCAGACCTTGAAGACAGGATCATGGCTGTTGATGATGAAAGGAAAGATTGCTTGAAGATGACAAAAGATCAGGGAATAATAATCCAATAGATATAAGATGACACAAAGAAAATGATATAAGAATAATTTATGTCAATGAAAAAGCAAGAGTCAACATAAATGATATAAAAAACTATTTGCAGAAGCAATAACAGAAAATTTCCCAAGCATGGGAAAATAAACTGATAGACATGCATAACTCCACTTACCCATAACCAAAATAAATCTGCACCCAAACATAAAATAATCAAAGTCTCAGACATTCAATACAACATTGAAAACTGTTAGAGAAAAGAAACTGATCACTTAAAAAGGAAAGTCTATCAGAATCATGGCAGACTTCTCAACACAAACCCTCAAATAAAGAAGAGCTTGAATTGAAATATTTCAAGTCCTGAAAGGAAACAGCTTCCAATGCAGATTGATGTACCCTGTAACACTATCTTTCAAGATTAATGGATAAATAAGATACTTTAATGACAAAGAATAACTGAAAGAATTCATGACCAATGCCACAAAGGGTATAGAAAGATATTCTAGACAGAAATAGAGATGAGCACCATTTCAAGAACAACAATAGAAAGAAACCTTTAAGCAGGGCAAGCAGTTAATCAGATAGGAAATATAGGAAACTCACAGTAGGAAAATAACATGACAAAGATAAGCAACTATGGTATGAGTTATAACCATCAATGTAAATGCCCTTAATTCATCAATCAAAAGAAGCAGACTAACTGAATGGATCAAGAAACTAGATCCCACAATATGAAATATACAAGAAACACGTTTAACTCTAAATGAACCTCATAGACTAAAAGTTAAATGATGGAAAACAATACCATATGTGACAGGAACCAGGAAAAAGCAAGGTAGCTATTCTGTTTGCAGACAATATAAACTTCAAACCAAGAATGACCAAAAGAGATAAAGAAGGTCACTACATACTTGTGCTGAGGGGATGACGACAAGAAGAGATAACAATCATAAATATATATGCATGAAATATGGGAGCACTTAACTCTGAAAAGCAAATATTAACAGACATGAAAAACCAAATAAGCAATAACATAATTGTAATGGGGAATCTTAATATCCCATGGTCACAAAGAGATAGATGAACTAGACTAAAAGTCATCAAAGAAGTAACAGAACTGAACCAAACAGAACTGTGAACAAATGGACTTAGTAGATGTTTATAGGATGTTCTATCCAACAACATTAGATCACAAATTCTTTTCAGTTGCACACATGACATTTTCTAAAATAGACTATATACTAGGCCATAAAACGTGCTTAAATAATGCAAAGGAATTGAAATTATCTCATGCGTATTATCTGACCATCATGCAATGAAACTGAAAATTAATGACAGAAGACACCACAAAAATCTCTTTAAATGCATGGAAATTAAGTAACACTTTCCTGAACAACCAGTGCATCACATGTGAAATTATAGAAGAAACTAAACATTATCTACAGTCAAATGAAAATGAAACTATAACCCACTAGAACCTGTGACACAATGAAAGCAGTCCTAAGAGGGAAATTGATGGCACTGAATTCTCACATCAGGAAAACAGAACAAGTACAAATAAACAATCTAATGATACACCTCAAACTTCTGGAAAAAGAAGAGAAGGTCAATCCCAAAGTTGATACAGGGGAGAAAATTATAAAGATTAGAGTTGAAAATAACACATTTGAGACTAAGAAAACCATATAAAGAGTTAGTGAATCAAAGAGCTGGTTCTTTGAAAGAATCAACACAGTCGGTAAACCCCTAGCCAACATTATCAAAAAACAAAAAACAAAAAACAAAAAACAAAAAAAAAGGAAAGAAACAACTCAAATTCATGAAATAAGGAATAAAAAAGGTGAAGTCATTAGCAATATTGCGGAAATTCAGAAGATCAAAAATCTTTACTTGCATAGGATGGAAAACAGAAGACACGGACATAAATTCCTGCAAATTTATGAATTACCAAAAGAGAATCAAGAAAACATAAAATTTTTGAATAACTTAATAATAGTTAATGAAATTGAAAATGTAATTAAAAACTTGCTAACAAAATAAGCTCAGATCCTGATAAATTCCCTGCTGAATTCTACAAGAAATTTAGAGAACAGTTAATGCCAGCGCTCCTCAGCCTCTTCAATGAAGCTGAAAGAGAAGCAAGTGTCCCTAACTCATTCCTGGAGTTATTCCTGGAGACAAATAGTGTCCTGATACCAAAACCAGAAAAAGAGCCAAATGAAAAAGAGAACTATAGGCCAACCTCCCTAGTGAACATAGATGTAAAAGTCCTCAATAAAATACTAGCAAATAGTTTGTATTAAATCATCAAGAAGATTATGCATCATGACCAAGTGGGGTTCATTCCAGGAATGCAGGGATGGTTCAACATACACAAGTCTACAAATGTAAGACACCATATCAACAGAGTCAATGACAAAAATCACATGATGATCCCAATAGATGCAGAAAAGGCTTTTGATAAAGTCCAATACTCATTCATGATAAAAAAAAAAAAACCTACAGAAAATTGGAAGAAGTGGACTTTACCTCAATTTGACAAAAGCCATCTATGACAAGTCAACTGTCAATATGATACTCAATGAACGAATACTGCAAGCTTTCAATCTGAAAGTAAGAACAAGACAAGGATGTCGACCGTCACCACTCCTATTTAATATAGTTCTAGAAACATTAACCAGAGCAATTAGACAAGAGACAGAAATAAAAAGATTAGGATAGGAAAGTAAGAAGTTAAGTTATCATTATTTTCCAGTGACATGATATGCTACGTAGAAGACCCTAAAACTCTACCAGAAGTCTTCTGGAATTAATAACAAAATTCAGTGGCATCGTGGAATAGAAAGTCAACATTCAAAAATCAATAGCATTCCTGTACACAAACAGCAGATTCACTGAGAGAGAAATTAGAGAAACTACACCCTTCACAGTAACATCCAAAAAAATGAAGTACTTAGGAATCAATCAAAGGAAGTAAAAAATTTATACACTTAAGATTACAGTACTCTGAAAAAAGAGATCAAATAGAATCAGAGAGGGTATCAGAAAATGGAAAGGTATCCCTTGCTCATGGATAGGAAGAACCAACACTGTGAAAATGGCCATATTCTCAAAACTGTTGTACAAGATTTAATGCAATTCCAATCAAAATTCCATTAGCATACCTCATAGCTCTAGAGAAAACATTCTTAAAATTCATTTGGAAACAGAAGAGACTAGGGTAGCAAAGACAATCTTGGGCAACAAAGACAAGACAGGAGGCATTACAATCTCTGGTTTGAAATTATACTACACAGCTACTGTGATAAAATCAGCAGGGTACTGGGAAAAAAAAACACCAGACCTGAAGATCAGTGAAACAGATGAGAAAGTGCAGAAATGACTACAAACAAACTCAGCCACTTTATCTTTGACAAAGGAGCCAACATTTTCACCAGAAGAAAGATAACCTCTTTAATAAGTTGTGCTGGAAAAACTAGCTTTCCACGGAGACTAAAATTACATCCATACCTACCACATGCACTAAAGTCAAAATGGATATAAATATTAAAACAGAAACACTAAATCCATTAGAATTGAAAATAGAAATCTCAAAGACAATCTCCTAGGCAGAGACTTCATGAATAAAAACCAAAATGCATGGGAAATATTTCAAAGGATCAACAAATAGGATCTCATTTTATTAAAAAGCTTTTGCACATGAAAAAAAATTACCATTAGAGTGAAAAGAAGACCCACAAAATGTGAAAAAATTTTAGCCATCTGTCCCCTAGATACAGGACTTTTATCTAGAACATATAAAGAACTGAAAAAATATCAGGCCCACAAAATTCAAAACCCCAATTCAAAAGTGGGCATCTGTGATGAATATACTCTTCTCAGGTGAAGAAATACCAAGGGCAAACAAATACATGAAAAAATGTTCAACATCATTGATCGATAGGAAAATATAAATTAAAATGACACTGAGATTTCTTTTTTTTTACAGCATTATTGAATAGATTTTTTTATTTTAAAAAGCAAAAAAGAAATGACAGAAATTTTTTAAAAAGTAGAAAATTAACACTAGTTAACATATTGAGTATTGTTATCTTAGAAGTAGTTGTTCAAGTTACAAGATCTAGTACAAAAATAATCAATTACAGCACAAACTATTCTTTTTGATGAGCTAACACAGAATTAGTAGTGTAGTTATCTATCTGCACACATATACATACATACAGTTGCACGTGTGTACCTACTCATATAATCTTTTACTTTCTTCCTTTTCTCCTTTCCCCATCCCAGTTGTTCTTTCCTTTCTATCACTTTCTTTCCCTTTCATTATTACAATGTATATTGTACATTTTGGATCTTATTACTCTTTTTATTTTTTATTATGGCAAGTGTGAGGTTGTGAGTTTGATCCCTGGAACCAAAAAAGAAAAAAAAAAATCAAAACCAAAACCAAAAAAACAAAAAAACCTCAAGCTCAACACTGAAATTTCATTTCACCCTAGAAGGAGTGGCTATCATCAAGAAATCAGTCAACAACAAATGATGACAGAGCTGTGCGGAGAAAGGAACCCTTCTCCACTGTTTGGAGAGTGCAGACTGGTACAACCTCTATGAAAATCAGTGTGGAGATTCCTCAAAAACTTAGGATTGGAGGTCTCATTCAATCCAGATATCCCCTTTCTGGGTATTTTCCTGGAAGAATCAAAAACATGCCACAGAAGTATATGTGTACCCTTGTTCATAGTAGTATAATTTGTAATAGCTAAACAGTGGAAACAACCCAAAATGTCCATCAACTGAATGGATAAGAAGACATTGTCTTTTTATACAATGGAGTACTACTCACCTAAAAAGAAGGATAAACTGAAGATTTTTTTATAGGTAAATGGCTGCAACTGGAGACCATTCTTACAAGGGAAATAAATTAGACTCACTTGTGTCAACATTGTATCGTCTCCATAATGTAAGAAACTGTAAGAGTAAAAAAGATCCAAAACCTACAATAGATATTGTGAAAGGGGGAAAAAACTGCTCAAAGAACAAATTGGAATGGGAGAAAGGAGAAAGGAAGAGAATATATATATATATATGCTAAGATAATTATATTGCTAGTTTATTTCAGTTCACTGAAAAGAATGGTTCATGCTTATATTATTTTTGCATGCCTCCATCTTGTAATCTGTGCAATTACTTTGAGTGTAACAGTACACAATGTGTTAATCACTGTTAATTTCCTATTATCTTCATATGAAATTCTGTATCATTGTTTTAATTGTTTTTTCTCTTTAAAATAAAAAATAAATACTGTATACTAATAAAATAGTATACAGTTTTATCAATTTTTCTTAGACTTTGTCCCAGTAGGAGCAGTGAGAAATTCCTGTGGATGGACATGGCTCTTTTTCTGACTTCATTTAAGACGTGTTGAGGATGTCTGACTTTTAGGCCACTCTGCAATCTGGAAGGGAAGAAGGTGAGTTTATCTTCTCCCTCAACCCTGGATGGTTTCCCAGCAGAGGAGCCCTGGTAGAGTGGCCCACAGGAGGAGCTCTGACAATGCCAGGCTGGGACGAACACCTGCTGCCATTTACCAGTCGTGAGTTCTTAAATAAGGCACCTAGTCTTGCTGGGCCTCATTTTCCACATCTGTGGGGTGGGGGAAGGTGATAACATTTCCTATTTTGTAGGATTGTTGAGAAGTCGAGCTACTTCACCTATGGGATGGGCACAGAGGATGGCCTAACACACCCCAGGCACATGGAGTACCACTATTAGCATGCTTTGGGAATGTCTTGGGTGGTACAGAATAACCACTAGAATCCTGGGGCCAGATACTATTTTAATGAGTACCTAATCTCTTTAGTAGGAGATATATATGTATATAAACACCTTGTTAGATAAACAGTGTTATGTCTCTCTATTTTACAAATGGGAACTGAAGCTCTGATTTATCTGCCTCTCTAATGTAGGTTTGGCAACTTCAGGAAAATCCATCTTTTAATATAATGCCTTTTATTATTTGTCATTTTTTTCTTGGTAAGTGTGGGTGGGTTTAGTAGTTAAAGGATAAACAGTATGACTATAATCAAATGTTCCTCTATGTGTCCCTTTGAAAATAAGATTAAGGAAGAGAAACACTGTCATTTGGCAGAGCTGACAAGGCCACAGGGTGACAACATTTTCTTAGAGGTTTGTCCCTGACTGACCCAACCTCAGCTCACATCTGTAGTAACTGAGAAGACTGAAGTCAATGGCCAACTAAATGAATTTTCATGGATTTAGGACGCATTGCCCAGAAAAAGGGGATCCGAAATGATTCCAAGTCAAATCTCTTTTTTCTACAAAGTTCTGATGTGGGCAACTATATCAATAATGATGATGTTGACAACTTCCATTTATAAGAGCTAGTGGTCTGTCAGGCACTGTGCTAAATGCTTATATTATCTCAGTTAATTCTCACAGATGCCTTGTACAGCCCCCTTTTACTGATGAGGAAACAAAGATTTAGGAAAGGAGAGTAGTAATATATATTCAGCTATAGTTTGGATGTGATTTGTTCCCCAAGGATTCATGTTTTGGGGGCTTGATCCTCAGTTTGGACATGTGAGAAGTGGTGGAACCTTAAAAAAAAAAAAAAGGCCTAATGTAAAGTACTCAGATTACAAAAGGTCTGTTCTTACAAGGGATTTGATAGCTTTTGTAAGACCTCTGGTTCTTTTAAGAATGAGTTGCTGAGCCCAGCGTGGTGGCTCACGCCTGTAATACCAGTACTCTGGAGACTGAGGCAGGAGGATCATTGCAAGTTCGAGACCAGCCTAGGCTACAACGTGAGCTCACGGCCAACCTGAACCGCATAGAGAGATCCTGTTTCAAAAAGACAAAAGACAAAACAAAACAAAAAAACCAGAATGAGTTACTGTAAGACTGAGGCTGACCCTTGAATCACTCTCTGGCTTCCTGTTTGGCAAAGTGATCCAGCTCCCATTTACATTCTTAACATTAGGGTACCCTCCTGCCAGGAAACTGTCACCAAAATGAGCTGATCTGGTGTCATTCCTTAAACTTCCAACAGGTGAGTTGAAGAAACTTCTTTATAAATTAGCTGACCACAGGTATTTTGCTATATCAGTGACAAAGTAATACAGGGATACAGGTGAGCCAAGGAAACAGGGTTCAAATTCTGTCTGATTCATATTTTAAATTTCTAACAATAGGTCCTATGGTCTCTGCACCCTTTTGGAAGGTCATGAGCCAAGGCTTTGTGTGAAAGCCTTCAAAACATCACAACCAGTCTGGTTCTCCTTAAAGGAGTCATTCTGTCCTCTCATTCCCAAAGTCACTCAAATTTCACTCTGGGTTTCTGAACTTTGGTAGAGATGATAGGTACTACATGAATCAGCCATATCTTTTTGGGAATGAAATAACTAAGATTTCAGTTTTTGAACTCTTTTGTTGACAACTAGGCTATACTTGGTTGTTCTTCAAATGACAAATAGCTAAATTTCCTTCTAAATGGATACCTGGGCATGATCTGATATTCTAACTTGATCTTTTGAGACAGAAATTTTCTCCTTCTGTTTATTCTTTCAATCCTGTAATTACCATCTATGAAACATTCAATAGTTTTCCAATACTATCCTGGAAAATACTAAGAACACAGAAAAATAAGTAAACTTCTCCTGGTCTCAAGTTGCTTAAAATTTACATGTACTATGCCAGTTCTGATTCTTCTACATCCAAAGAAAAGATTTCAAGTGGACCTAAAAAAGCAAGATCAAGAGAAACTCGAGGGTGTGATTTTATAACTTGTGTGGTTTTTTGGGGTATGAAAACAGGAAGAGGAACTTCTGGGGTTCTTTGAAGGCATGAATCATAAACCAGATTAACAGGTATGGTGGCCCCCTTGTCAGGGTAGCAGTTGTCTCTATAAAAGGAGAGAAATGTTTGGTAAGAAGGAAATACCAATGCTTGTCTCTACCCCAACCACCCTCCCACACAATCTCTACAGTATGGTAAGAAGTTCTCTGCTTTGTTTTGACTTCAGCTCTCTCTCTCTCTCTCTCTCTCTCTCTCTCTCTCTCTCTGTCTCCCCAGCTGAGCTGCAGCCTGCTGTTTTGCACACACTTTTGCCTCTTCTATTTATTTTGCTAAAACTCTTAAACCTGTCACTGAAGTGGTTTCCAGCCCAGTGTCTGTGTTAGTAATCTCCCTTTCTAAGAGATAAGACCCAGAGTGAGATAGATTGAAAGACAAACAACATATCAAAGTTGCTGAATACACAGAGCCCTTTGAAGACTTCCCTGGCTTTATGAGCTTCAGGAGAAAAAATGAAAACATCCATATAGAAGGTTTCAGAAACTCAGAAATTATAGAAACCATCACTGGCAAATGCCAGTGTATGTGGATGAGCCAAACCCACATTTCTTGTAGCAGAATGAAGGTGAGCACGGAGGTCACTGAAGAGTTGGAGAGGAAGGACTTTTTGATCAGCCTGGAGTTTATCGAACATCCCATATTTTGTGATGCAAACCAGGTTTCTACCTTTAGCATAAGAAAGTATGAATTTACTCGCAGGTAGTAACAAAATAAAACAGTCACATGTGGGGCTGGTGATTTAGCTCAGTGGCATAAGTGCCTTCCTGGCAACCACAAGGTCATCAGTTTAATCCCCGGTACAAAAAAACAAAAACCAAAAAACCACTAACATGAGAAATGTCACATTTTTTTTTCTCTAAAATCAAATTAAATTTGACTATCTCAGCAGGGCATTTTTCCAGGGCAAACCATAAATTCTTGGCCACTAGAAAAGAACTCTTTATCAGAGATAATGCAAGATTTCTTTAATATTCTCATCTACCTTCTGTGGACTACTCAGATGTTACTATACTTTGCTTTTGTTTGCTGATAAAATCCCTGATTGTGCCCAAGTGCAAGAGAGGAATCTACTCAAGGAGGGTGGGCCCTTCCCCAAATTTAGACAAATGATTAATCTATGCTGTACTTAGTATGGGAGACCTAACATGTTTCCCAACTATAGGATTGAATTGTAACAGGGGATTCTAAGACCTTAGGCTGAGGGGTAGAGGACTTCCTTATTAATTAAAACAAAGGTATGTGAAGTAAAACTTCGTTCCATCCTGCCTCTGGACAGATCCATGTGAGGCATGTGTTTGGACTGACAGCAGCAGCCATCTTATTCCCATAACCGTGGCAAGAGCAACATGCCAAGAAGTCACTGGGCCACCACTATGGTTGAGGTTACCAATCCTCATGTCTGTTGATGTGCCTGATGAGAATTCCCATTGTTGAGGACTGTGTGTATTAGTATTTCATTACCAGCTGAGAGAACCCTATTTTATACAATACTTGAGACTTTGAACCCTCTGGTCTTTGGTTGACTCTGGTCACCACTGGGAGTGTCTGAGCCATTATGGCCCCTGTACCAAAGTACTTCAATTTGGTGCCAACATTGGGCACGGGTCTGCAGAAGATTGCCCCTCAATGACTCTGGTCCCTCAGCATTGCCCTTATTTTTTGATGCGCTGATGTTTTGATGCTGACTGACCCTCCCCCAGGCTTTAGTGATAGGCTTTTCTGACTTGTACTGGGATCTCTGTTCCCAGTTCATTCCTCAGAAGTAAGAATCTGAATCCTGAGGCAAAGGGAAGACCAGGCTTTAGAGTTAGACATCTGGAAATGTGAAGTAATGGTTTGGTTGAATAATTGCCCAGAAAAATACTCAGTTCACTCCTGCACTTCCTCTGCCCATCCTACGCCACTGCAGCTCTGCGTGGTCACAGATCTGCTATGCTGGTGTATTTTCAGCGCCATCTTCCTTCCACAGAACATCTGCCCTCCTCGGACTCTCAAATGGCCGAGAACTTCAAAACCAAAACAAAACTGAATGCAGTGCCTGTTTATATTAAAAAACTATCCAGCAAGTGGGTCAAAGGAGGCTAACCAGACCAAAAAAAGTGGAATAAAGTGAAAACTCTGTCCTCTCCAGATCAAAAGATTTTCATGTTGTAGCACAGCGTTCAATGCTCAGTAAAAAAAACCTTCTAATTCATCAAAATTGTCATTTTAAGCTGGTATTAGAACCTTCTAACACTGGGAGGCTGAGGCAGGGGGACTGCAAGTTTTATCCCAGTTTGGGCAACTTAGTGATTTACGAAGACCTTGTCT